AAATGATGCCGATCCAGTTAGGCTGAGCGTTGAATTTGTCCCTCTACTGCCAGCAGTGAATTGTACTTTACAAATAATATTTTGGTCCAAGTCTTTCCCTAACGTAACTGACTCCTCTATTGAATTTATTGACCATGTCATTTTCAGATGGCTTGCAATTAACAATACAGGTGTAACAGAATATTTCACGGCTGTTGTGGGAACCACTTCCAGACGAACAAAACCATTGCTTGGCCCTTTTGATCAAGCAAAACCCCACCACTGCAAGTTCTAAAGCTGAAATCAAACCCACTCCGGAGAGGAATAACTTGTAATGGTACTTGCGTCTGTGATGTGGAATTGAAGAAGAACTTGGTGCAAACTCCTGAAATAAATTAGACCAGCAAGAATCTTTGAACTTCACTAATGCTGCTAATGTTGTCTATGTCATGGTGTTCTTAAGTTACTCTATAGTGACCCTAGCCTCTCCGGGTCCACCAGGGTGTAAAGGTGGGTACGGATAAACATATTATGGATAAGAATAGACTGCCATGGATTCTTATCGTAGTCTTGGAGGATTTATTGGTAACACTCTTAAGTCTCTTCATGCGTAATGGTTTTCCAGAATAAAAGCCCTGACATTACATTACTGTTGTCATTTTGGCCGAGTTTTATGCCGGACATTTGGATCAGAGCATAACGTTTGCAAGCTGAAACTACATCCCGAACGTTCTAAAGATAAAGAAAGGCTGAAAACCCTATCTTGGTAGAGAAGTACCAGAATGGACATTGAAACCGCGCTTTCGATCAAAAACTTCCGATTTCTGCGCTGTCATTATTTACTGTGATCCCGGAGTTCACAAGAAAGATAGTTTCGAGTTTGAAGCCTGTAACATGCCAAAAAAAGACTACGGGAACATTTCTGCAAGGAAACAGATATTTTTAAAATCCTTCGTTAAAAGGCTGAAGTATATATTCATTTAATATGCTCACTTTATGTAGCGAGTAAAGGTCTGTTTTAAGATAGATCTACTGAATACATGTCTTGAGAGTGAAGAACAGACCCTTAAGTATGCTCAGTTAAAAACAAAGACAGTTAAGATGGCAATGACTCTAGGCAACGGAAAGTATTTTAACTCAACTTTACTGACTCGAGTTTATTCTTTTGATATAAACATACAACCCACGATCTTTTTATAACGCTGCAAGGGCGGCAATAACTAGTACTGCAAAACACGAAAACAGTTACAATGGCAAAAAAAATGTGTCAACTGTTTATGCAAGGAAACAGATGCAATTCATTGATATAATTAAGGTTGAAACGACTTATGGACTAACATTTCCTCCACGGAAAGTTTATGCAGATTATACAGAGTGAGTCTTACCTTCACTGCAAAGTGATGAAAAAAGGAGAGCTGTAAAAGAAAGTACAAAATACATTATAGAACGTATTTTGCCGAGCCAGATTATTTACTGTTTTCGGAGTATCTGTCAGCTCCTGATTTGTTTTATCATCCTAAAAATTCCGGATGTACTCCGACGTGAAATACGTGTCACGCATGTCTCAAATAATCTCAGAGCACAGGAGGAAGCTAGATTCTCGAAATGGTTAACACAGATTTACATGCATATAATTTAATAACTTCAGTTTGTATGGTTTCTTTTCTTAGTTCACTAAATTCCAGTAGAGTGCAAGTTCAAATTTTCACCAGAAATTTGAGCCAGTGCTGTCGTCAATCGAAGCACGAAGAGTATAGTATTAGATCCTTCCTATCCTCCCTACCCATCTTAAATATACATTAATTTCTTGACTCATCTATCGCGTGATAAGTTAATAGTTGGCTCAAGACCTTTAATAAGCCGAATCAAGTATTGAATACAATTCTCAGTGAAAACGCAAAGAAACAGTCGAAATCAAAAATGGTATTTTTTGACTTTTTTAACATAATTTGCCGATAAGATGATCATTTTGACAACCAACTTTCGACTCTTTTCTAATGGCTGCCAGTAAATGCAGAGAAGCCAGTCAAATACGCAAAGGTTGCATGAATTATACTACTAATGGGACCATACGTGTGCACGCGCTCGCCGTTTGTGACGCAAGAGCGGTTACTCGCTTCCACTTATCAGCAATGGACGAGGAAGGTAAGTTAACTGACTTTAATAGACTGTCATCTTTAAAAGCGATAAGCGAATCACAGCAGTGTACTTGAAACTGCTTTGGCAGAACTTTCCACAGAGATATTCTGCCGCATCTAGTGAAAAGCAGTTTTTCCGTGTATACCATAAACGTTAAACTGATTTATGAATAGAAAATGTTTTCAAGCCAAAGGAGGTTAGCTGTTTTCAAAACAGAAACATTTTCATTAAGGAGATTAAAACTTGTTCTTTTCATTTTGTAATTCTCACCTTCTTGCTCCGGTTCTGAAGCAGCGAGTACTCAAGTGTGAGAAAATATAAAAGGAAAAAAATGTTTAGTTAAAAAAAAATGCACTTAAAGGAGACAAGTGCGTAGAAGAGGCTGGAATCGCTGTTTAGTTTTAATATCGTATACCATGTTTTTATATTTATTTTTTTAGAGCCCGATGACAAAAGCGTAAATTACGCCGAGGGCAAGGCACAAGCATCAGAAATACAGGTGAAACTTACTGACTGGAAGTGTTCTGCACAAAAAAATTTCGGAATTGTTCATTGTACTTGGGAAGCTTAGCCCTTATGGATGAATAACCGTCCTGTTGTAGCAATAGACCACTTTGCATATATTAAAATTCACCTTGATAGAGAGACCTAGAGGACGCAAACAAAGGAAATTGAATGATCATGTTTATTATTCATTTCTTTAGTTTGTGTCCTCTAGACCTCACTATCAAGCTGATTTTTAATATATGGAAAGTGACCTATTCCTTTAGGAGATAACCTCTGCCGGGTGGGCGTATAATGCGATCGCCGATTGTACCCTACCAAAGACGTGATAGTACCTTATTGCAAGTACTTTATTTCGTTGTTGTCTTCATTGTAGTTAGCTGTTTTCAATTTGTTAAAATGATCTGATTTTGTTTCAGTTCCCGCTTGTTGATTCACAAGGTAAAATGCTGTTACCGCCGGCAGAACTTGGAGAAGGTTGCCCTGCGCCTGTTTACGCCAACCCCCGGCAAGCGTTAAGGATTCTCAAGCGAAGAGAAATGAAAAGAAGACTTGCTTTGTCAGGAAGATTAAGAGTAGGGAGACAAGTAGGTCCCCGGGGTCATTGTCTTGTGTTCCTAAGCAAGACACTTGACTTTCACAGTGCCGCTCTCTACTCAGGTCATGTGTATAAATGGTTGCCAGCAAAATTAATGTTGAGGGGAGGGGCAGCCCTGCGATAGACTAGTATTCTTTCTAGGGGGAAGTAGAAATACTCCTAGTCGCTTCATACAACAGAAATCGGAGATAAGCGCCGCCCTGATGTGCCACTTGGCTTGTATGCAGACTTAGCCTACTTCCTATAATCTCCAGCAAGTACTGATCATGTAGCACCACACTTTATCTTTATGTAACACCTTTGGCTTTACCACCCAGATAGTTGTGTCTTCGGTTAAAACTTCGTTAATAGCTAGTTACTAAACGTTCACCAAACATACAAGTATATTGACATTGAAATGTTGTCTTTTTGAACTGTAGGAAAAGAAGACATTTGAAAATGAATGCAAACTTGAAAAAAACGACGGGACTGCTGACTAGAGTGGAATTTCACCCAACTCCAAGGCAATCATGATGTGATCAACTGAGATTAACAGTGGATTTATCTTACTAACTTGTACATAGTAGAACTTTGTGTGAACATTGTAACAGCAGATGTAAACTTAAACAAATAAAATAAAAAGTTACTATTAGGAACTAAATGAAAGCATTCCATTATCGGCTAGCTATAGCTGAATGTGATGTTTCTAATATGGATCTCTTTCTTGTTTTGTCTGGCATGGTTCTCCCAGCAGGCACGAAAATCCAATGGCGCAAGTCTCTATCGAACTGGAGAGCTCTAAATATTGCATTTGTTTTTATGATTGGCCATTTTCGATGTATTAAAATCCTAACTTGGCTCTTGGGCTTTGGGGAATAAAACGAAAGAAATCACATCGAGTTTGAGGGGAAAATAATTAATTTCTTTTGTTTTATTCCCACAAGCCTCGGAGCCATGTTAGAATTTTAATGTATGGAAAATGGTTTATTATACAGGGACCGCGGAGACCATTTTAAAGTGGTAGAGCTAAAAATCCTGCCAATACAAACAAACGTTAAGGTCAGTGTAGACGCGTTTTATCACTTTCTAGTAGTAAAATCCATATTTTATCCATGTCATCTGGAGCCCTAGAAAATAAATCCCAGCAGTGTAAAAGTGTTAGGGCTATAACCCTACCAGCCCCTTCGCCTCCGCGGTCCCTTTATAAGTAACACGTGATTTCCTCAAGCACACGAGTGGTCATATGAAAACTCTAGCACTTAACGATTAACACTACTCGTAACAAAATTTAAAACGTTCTCTGGCTAAAAATGTAGTGTAAATCCCAAATTTCACTAGCTTTATTTCATACGACCGCCTTAACTGGATAAAAATTTCATGAACAAATAATGGCAAATGTTTTCTGGGTTTTATTTTTCAAACTAAAACAGTCATTTTTTTGTTTGTTTTTAATTTCGGGGTAAAATTTATAGACGACGCAAGCACAATCAACCAAGCAAACAAAACATTAAGGTAGGACACACACCAAAAGTCTATAAATCTCGAAGATATTTTTTCGCTTGTCTAACGTTCGCGATGCAAAGATGCGTGACTTTCGTGATCGCGTGACACCATTTTTTTAATGACGTCCTGCTTTTTTAATCGATGTTTCGTGGAATTTTGTCGAGATCAATTATTCAAACATGATCACTGACCCGTGTGCTTCTTCGGCTGTACTGCCACAACGTAAAACTTGAAATCTTGCTCGGCTTCTAAAGAATCGCCAGGAAACGTCGAGGCTGAACTTCGCTCTAGAGGTAATTTTGTTTGAACTCCTTTCTTGTATGAAAAGTAAAATATGTATGTAGTCCATGGGATTGGCCAGGCGCGTCTGCAATCGCGTTGTTCATGGTCCAACGTCAAATATTTCTACTGACCTTAATAAAAGAACTCCGTTCTAGCTAAGCTCAAACATCCCCAAAACTAGTCTGATTAGGGCTATGGCTGTGTTGAATGTTGGGTTACGGTTGTACCGTGCCTGGTTGGCCAAAATTGTGGTGTGATTCGAGAAACTGTTAACATTTCAGATATTTCAGTGGTGTTTCAGTCGTGAAATGTGTATTTGGTAGCCTGTGGGCAGTGATTCGTGATTTCGTCAGATAAGTATTTGTGCAAATCAAATCTTTAGCAATGCCAGGTCATGATTTGAAGATTATCAAAGGCTATCTAAACTACAGTGTTTAGCAAGAAAAGAATGCTGCCTTTCGGTACATGAATGCATGACTTTATTCGAATCATTAAATGTTACGCATACCTTATACGCAAAGCCATATTCACAAAAGGGAAGTAAATTTCGGCGGCCTTGACCTTTTGATTTCAGAGTGAGTAACTGAATTCTTTATTTCCCATTTTCTTATCCGTACATTTTATTTGTTTATAGAAGGAGGACTAGAGAGACCTATGCTGGCTTTTACAAAGGAGCTCGTTCCCCATTTTCTTTCTTGCTAATTATGCCTCGCATTCCGTATCAGGGTTGGTTTTCAATACAAACTAAACAATATAATGTACAATTTTAAAACGTTAATTGACTTGATTTTTGATCGACTCAGGCCCAGTTCAGACGTCGTGCT